TTCGATGACTACTGTAAACCGACACACACAGACGTGAAAGGGTGGACATGTATGAGAGTATCGTCGCGATATCATTGAACTCGCGGAAGATTCCTGGAAATTCGCGATATTTTTCCTTAAATCTTGCCTTTAATGAGTGATAATAACCGTAGTTAAGTCACAGAATGTGCAAATCTGTGGGATCCCCACACTTCCCCTTCTGAGAGTATGAACTGAAGATAACAGGTCTCGGAAGCAAACCAAATAATGCAGTTCAGGCCGCCAAATACACACGCACACACATAACCTAGACCGCACGCACGCATACTGTTATGAGCGCGCCACTCTCTTGTTCTCTTTCTCTCTCATTCTCTTTGCCAGCGAACCGCGTGTGTAGGCAGAACAAAGAAAGCGATAAATGAAGACCAGTGCTTAAACAAATTAACAAAAACAAATTCTTTTTTTTACATTTTTAGGTTATGAATAGACCAAACAGAAGCGATAAAAACGCCGCTAGGGCGGAAAAACTGAACTGTCCTCAAATTAGTTTTAGAAATGTTTTTTTTTTTCCTGATTGCAGTCGGTGCGAAGCGGGTTCCACCCCAATGAAAAATGCTACTTTTCTAGACCGACCAGACCACACGAGATGAGGCCGTCGCAGTCGCCGGGACCGGCATTGGGCTTACCTTTGCGACGTTTGAAGGCCCCTGCTGCTGTTGTCTGTCTACTTGGGAACGTTTCTAATGCACTAGGTATTGCTTTTGAGTGGTTGGATTTGCTTGATTGTCCGAAATCGAAGAAATTTGCACTTGGTGGCTGCTGCTGTGGCGAAGAGCACTTGGTTCACAGAATTTTGTATGAAGCTGAAGCACGGGAGAAATGGTTGGTGAGCGATAGGGAGGGTTTGCTCGCGGCCTACTTTCGTGAAAAGCTGAAATATATCTGTACTAAATCAGTGAGACTGAAAATTTTAGTTTTGTTAACGAGCACACACGCACACACACGAAGATAGGCTGGCTTCAAGTAGTCGCTTAGTCTGCTTTGCTTTGTTGCAAATTTTTCCGAATATAATAACTAACTTGGCAATTCCGCTCGTGCTTTACGTTTGCTTTTTCCGATGTTGGCGATCACAGTTGTTGGTTAATTAAGTTACAATGCGTTATTTTTGTCAGATTTGTGTAGAAAATAATCGCAAACGCAAATTGGTCAAGTGTAGAAGAGAGCCGACGTTCTTTCCGGATGTTTATTCAAGCTTTTTACTTAATAAATATTGCTTTTACTGATTTAACATTTGCTCAAGTTACTACATGGCAACTACACGGTAATTACACATTTCCTACATAATGAAAGGAAAGAAGGTATGGACAATTGGCAATACGGCCCAGAAAATGCAACGAGTGCAAGGTAAAATCCACCTCTTTTGCCTAATATACCTTGACTCCACATTTTGTCTTCGAGGTTTATTGTCCCCACACGCGAGGTGAGGTTCGTACGAGCCTTCCAATTTTCCTTGGCTGTTTTTGCCTGTTATCCATACCTTTTTTATAGCGCATTCCAAATTACGACTCATTTTTTCGTCGCAGGGGAGAGCAGCAGTGGTCACACTAAGCCTCCAAAATACCGCAAACATACCGATGAAAAACGAACTTAGCCCACTTAAATCCCCTTTATTAAACCAGGATAACAACTTGAATTAAACAGCGGAAAATAATACTAATAATAATTGTTCGGGCGAAGACCGAGTGTAAATTTTGTACTATCTTCCTATTGAATATCAATTCATGTTCTGTACTATTTTGGTCATTGCACTAAGTTAACGTAACGTAAGCGTACCTCTGTCTCTGCTCGCTCAGCACCATGCTCTCATTTCATTATCTATTCTTTATCTATGATAGCTCTTGTTATTTTTTTGTACCTATGTCGTCCCTAAGCCGGCAGCAGCTGCGCCTGCTCTAGTTAGTTACTGCTTGATATAACTAGATTACGGAAATTTTTTCTCCCCAATCTATTAATTTGGCTAGAGATCGTCTTTCTTGTCCCAAGTGTATCACTCGCTAATATTATATTGTACAAGGATTTAGCATGGACAAATTACCTACAATAAAAATTTAAATGTATCTGCAATCATTAAATCGTGAAATTATTTAACAATTGTAACAATTTAATGTTGTCTCAACAATAATAAAAAATTCTTCTTGTAGATCCATACCATCCTTCATCTTTACATAAAAAAAAATGTATCTTTCACCTACACTGGTTAATTGTTCTATGTCCATGTTCGGAAATCGAATTCGTCGATATTGATATTCGGTTTAATATTACTCGCTAGATAGGACCTTCAGCCCGAAAAACATAATTTCATCCAATTGATGATTAAAGATATGTAAATTTTAACTTGATTATGTCTAAAATAAGTTTTGTCTAGTAAAGAATGTCAAGACATAGAACGTAAGTGGTGAATATGGAATTTCTTATATGTATGTGGCTGGAATTTAAGACTTTTCTACCGGGAGTATGGAAATTTGTATACCATATAATATTAAAATACCCTTTCTCGTTCCCGATACCTATTCTTGGTATCTGTAAGAAGACCATAAACTGCAAAATTTCATTGAGATTCCTTTAAAATAGAGACTGACTAGTTTTTGCGTTTATATGATTCTGGGATAACAAACATTTCCTTAATTCTATAATAATCGTTTCCCTGGGGTATGCTGAATTTTCTCATTCCGTTACAAGTGAGTATGAAATGTAGGGACACCATCCCATCTAGAAAAAGAGAACAAGTCCCAAAAAAGGTGAGAATATCGCACAAAACTTCGCTGAGTTGCGCTAGAGTTGAGCGCCATAAATTGTTTGAAGTGTATAAGCGACAAGGATTGAACTGCAATCTAAATGGCAACATCAAAAATAACTAAAAAACTCAAACACATTTATAAACAATCAAAAATTACCACTTCACGCATATCAAAAATGTTTGCCATTTAGTTATTCAAAACGATCCAGATATGCGGGCAAAAAGTGAAATCGCCAACACTCCTGCTACAGCTAAAAACTTATTAATTCATTTACATTGACGATATATTAAGATCATCATCAATTTCGACATCCTATCCTCTTTGATGCAATGTGTACTTACAGCAATAACTCAATCTTCAAGCCAAACTGCCAATAGCAATAATTTTTGAATACAATATAAAAGAATTCAAATATTGAATGAGAATAAATGAACAAAGACTTGAATTTCGTTTTCGTATTTTTCCGAGTTTTCTATTGCGTTACTAGCACTGACAATTTACAAACAGCTACTTTCGTTTTTATAAAAATTACAATAAGTCAGTTGATTTTTTAATATCAAAGATTAAAAATCAGAAAGTAAGTCTAAGAATAATGGTGAAAACCATTATCTAGACTGAAGGACAGAAATAGATGTAATATCCAAGTAAAATTCTGCCGTTCCTGTAGTCTTGTGGAATACGCCCATTATTATTTCATTTGAAGCACTAACCATACAGTATGGTACACCACTGTATGTAGTGTTTGAAGTCAACATTTCATAATCCATCGCTGTCATCGATGTTTCCATTCAGCTCTAACAAAAAATGCTGCCTGTTACATATTTTAAGTGCCGCGCGTTTTTAAACTTTTGTTTGCTGTTTTTTATAACAATCAACTGTTGCGAAATAGCTTCAAGTATTTTAAAATTATAAGTAAATATTTTTTGCTTGCCAGTGATGGCTCTTTTCGTGGTGGGATTTCTCTTTGGAAATTCTATACGGTTTGAAAAATGGAATATTTAATACATTTTATTTGGTATATTACGGTAATTTTAAAATGTTAATCCCCACACATTATATTCTCTTGTGACCAATCTTAATTTATGTATTCGCTATGTAATTATAAGAATTTTTCAATTCTACGAAATTCTAAGAATGAATGCTCCGAAACGCAGATCATTTACAGACGAAATTTTATAAATGCTCCCAAAGGAAGTGAAGGAGAATTGGTTTATTGGGAATGGTGGGTTGCCTAAAATATACATATATTTTTAATAAAAGGATGCAGAGGAAGTGCACTAGACCGCCGATTGTTTCCTCTACAACCCGACCTGTTGCCTTGAACGCTATCCGGCTTTCTAAATGCTGTGATAGCGAAATGAATAATGCAGTTGCTGCGATGCAGAATCATGAAACACATGCGGCAATTTTTGCGCTAATTGCAAAAGGCGGAGTCACACGCGGATGCCGAGGCGGCAGGTCGTTGGGCACATCGCACCCGGAGACACCCACATCGCCGTACCCGGAGATCTATGAAGTGGACGATGAGTTCAATCTGCCCGTTTCGGTGGCCCTCCTGCTGCTCATCTCCTACATCCTGGTGGGCTCAGCCGGCTACGTGATGCTGGAGTCCGACTGGGAATTGCTGGACTATTTCTATAACGTCTTCATCTCATTGTCACCAACGGCATTGGCGACCTGGTGCCGACCTGGTCAGCATGATACACCTGATGTACGGCTTGGCCCACACCTCACGAGTTATGGCTTCCATTGGGATTTTATAAAAATAAACGTTCACAATTCCCCTTCAAGTGTCATTTTTTGTTATTACATAAAAATGTAGTTAATATGCAAAAATGTAGTTAGCGTGTAGTTATCATGTAAAGACATTGATTTAGTGGAAATTGTTGTTGACCGTTTTTGTTTAAACCTTATTTTATAAAAAGTCCATTAAAGATGAGAGCTTAAAGTTAACTAATCTTGTAGGAAATTGATTGATCAATCAGATTAAATTATGATTTTAATGCTGGGTGTCCTAGCCAGCTGTCGATATTAAGCCGAATATAAAAACCGAGGAATATAATGGAAATTGAATAAAAATAATTCGTCAATATATCGTCAGTGTTTTGTGACGATTGTTGGTATATTTCTGAGGTCAGACCGTATATCGTATCGTTAAGTTCGCGGTCACACTGGCTGTCATTTTCCGGTCGTTTGTCGCGCGAGTTTGGCGAGTGTGTGAAAAAAAGGTTTTCGTTTAAAATAATCTAAAATTGTGCTGAATCTAAGAGTTTAATTGGCAAGAAATTAACTACACACCACCGACAACATGGCCGATAAAATTGTAGACAGTGAGATGAACGGCGAAGACTTCACCAAGGATGTAACCACCAACGACGTGAGCTCCGAAAATGGTGATGCGGCGGGAGCTGCCGGTTCCACCAACGGCTCAGAACACACATCCGCTGTCTCTAACCAGCGGGATGACGACAGGTATTGAAATAACATATTGGGCCAATCACCGCAGGCAGGGAGCTGATAAATGTAGCAGATCATGTGCCCAACTTCAGTTTCTATTGCCTCCTCCTCCTCTGTTACGTAAATGCGAAGCTAACGTCGTTGGTCGCGTCGGTGGGAGCGGGAGTCGGCGGAGTCTCCACTCTGCCCGCCGCGCTGACCCCTTTGTTTTCGCTCGCGTGCGTGTGTCTGTGTGTGTGCGTGCGACTGTACCTCATTCAGCAGCAGCAGCTATAAGCAGAATATTAATAGAATTTTTTGGAAATTTTGTTTGTAGCCGGGCGTTTATTTTTTGTTCATTCTGTCCTTTTGCTAGCTATGGAAAATTTTGTTTGCTTGCGTTAGGCTTGCACTGCTGTGCACTGCTCGTTTTCTCGCAATTCGGTAACGAGCGATATTTTCATTAGTCAGAGCTCCCAGAACAAAGCCCCGAAACGGTCCCCAATGCCTGACGCATGTGAAGGCCTCGGCTCGGAGCACCCCACGGGAGCACATTTTCCCCCATTTGTGAGGTTATGTTCGCTGTGTGTGGAGCTCTCCCCACGTTGCCTCCACACTCTCGCACTCACACACAAGCACACAGCTGGCTCGCCTTGCCTTTCACTTGCAAAAAACCAAGTTTGTATTTGTCAGAGTATTTGTATTTTTTTTTCGCATTACTCTTTTGTTTAGCCATTCGTTGTTATTTTGTTCGCTCGTTTCCATGCTCTTCCAGTTCTGTACCCAAAATGGCGGCCATAGTGTGTATATGTACAAACACAAGCCCATATGCGTGCGCGAGTGTGTGTATGTATGGATTGTATGTATGTTTTGCATTTTTCACTATTCCCCTTTGCTTGCCGGCTTCGCGCTCTGTTGGCGAGGCATTGCCAGCCGGCGTCAAAACAGTGTTGTTGAGTCGGAAAAAATAAACGAAAATTAACATTTTTGTTGGATATTTCATACGATCCCATATTAAAGTGTGATAAAGATAATCCGATTTGCATCAGGCTGAAGAAGGGTCTTTGTTAACTTTTGTCTTGCGTTTCGTTTACTTCTTGGTTTGTTTATGGTATACATAATTTTTCCATCTATTGAATTGATCATTATAATGCCTAAGTTTAATCTTAAGTCAAGAGGAGACTTTGTATCAACACAACAACAGCCGAGCAGAGGAAATCGGCCCGCAATTGGAAGGAGCGCCCACAAAACATCAAAAATAAAGAAAAACCAATCCAAAACCAAAAACAAATCAAAACAATACATAGCTTTTCCTGTTGTGTTTGAGCGAACTAACCTTGTTCCTCTCCGGCAGGTCTTGAGAGAAGGCTAAACTATTCTCAAGCAAACGCAGTCGAGGCGAGGGCCCGAACGGAAATGGGATTCCCTTGGCCGAGGATTCGGAGCGTGCGCAACGGATGCCCTCACCCCACGCCGATATTGATGTTGATGGTATTTATCTAACCAAAACTAAACAATCAATCAATCAATCAGTCAATAGAACTATGTACACACAAAATTGTCAGCAATTATCTCGATTTCAAATTGGATCACTATAAAATATGTTAAATATCTGTGCCCTGTACAGGAGAGTGTCTTAACGTACATATAACACAATTATTGTTTAAAAAAATATTGATATATCAGAGAAAGAGAGAGACCGAGACCGAGTGAAAGAGACTCGCATTTTTTGTTTGTTATCAAGCTCAGCCGCTGAAAGAGAGAGAGTTAAAGGCAGAAAAAGAAAGTAACGTAAAGCTAAAGCTCTCCCACGATACGGATCGGATTCGAAAACGTGCGCCGACATGCCGATATTGATAGTCTTAAAAGCCTCTAAATTCCTCCGCCGTGATGAGACTAGACTGTTCCAAATTGCCCGAAATCCAATCCGCAGAACCCAGCCGTTTCTGAACTTTGCCGTTTCTGAAGTAACGTACAGCTCGGAATAAATTAAGTATTCTATTTTCTTAACAATTTATAAAACAGACAAATAAAGCAAGTAAAACCAGAATCCAGAATAAAAACCCTTGCATTTTTCTCATATCGAATAAAACTAATTGTTAACTATGTAAAAAAAATACCCAAAACAAAACTAAATATTCACTCTTTGCATATATGTATCTTTCGCTCGTTTGTGTCTCTCGCTCGCTATCGATCGCTCGTCGCACTCTTTCGCTCATTTCCGAGTTTGCAAGTTTTTGATACTATATAATCTCCGATCAGATCTCTGATTGAAAACAGTAATTAAAGCAATTTTCACTTCAAATTTGGTGAGTTTTTTTTATTCGTTTGTATCCTAGCTCTGCCATCAATCTTTTGCAGCCATAAACAAAATGTAAGAAGAGAAATTTTAAAGTAAATCGAAGAAGAAAGTATAAAACACAGCCTATTTCCGTTTTCTGTGCCCCTAGTTGTCCTCAAAAAGATTTCCCCTCCCCTAATTGGTGGAAATACCCCTTAAAGCAATGCCCGACTAAACCGCAATTCTTCTGTACCCTTTCGCAGGAAACTGTTTGTGGGCGGCCTCAGCTGGGAGACGACCGAGAGTGAGTAGAAAGAATATTTTCAATCGGATGCGGCCAGAGTCTGACCCCATGCTCTTGTTCGTGTGCTTGTTGTTTACAGAGGAACTGAGGGACCATTTCGGCAAATTTGGCGAAATCGAGAGCATCAACGTAAAGACAGACCCACAGACCGGACGCTCGAGGGGATTCGCCTTCATCGTATTCACAAACACTGAGGCCATCGATAAGGTGAGCTCTGCCGGCGAGCACATAATTAACAGCAAGAAGGTCGACCCCAAGAAGGCCAAGGCCCGCCACGGCAAGATCTTTGTCGGCGGCCTGACCACAGAAATCAGCGATGAGGAAATCAAAACCTACTTCAGCCAGTTCGGCAACGTAAGTTTCGGCAATGTGGAAAAGTGTTGAATAATGCTGAATGATGATTTTATACTCTAGATTGTTGAGGTTGAGATGCCCTTCGACAAGCAAAAATCGCAGCGCAAAGGCTTCTGCTTCATCACCTTCGATTCGGAGCAGGTGGTCACAGATCTGCTGAAGACGCCCAAACAGAAGATCTCTGGCAAGGAGGTCGACGTGAAGCGTGCCACGCCGAAGCCCGAGAACCAAATGATGGGAATGCGCGGTGGTGCACGCGGTGGAATGCGCGGTGGTCGCGGTGGCTACGGACGCGGTGGTCAGTACAGTCAGAGCACAGCAGATCCATCTGCCATCTGGCATAGATCGCAATGAATTGAACAGTCCTCTAACTGCGTACCGATCTCTCTTTTTCCGCAGGCTACAACAACCAGTGGGACGGCCAGAGCTCGTACTCTGGCTACGGCGGTTATGGCGGCTACGGTGCTGCCGGCGGCTACGGCGACTACTATGCCGGTGGCTATTATAATGGATATGACTACGGTTATGGTAAATACAACAAACAACATAATAATGCTCATAGCAACTATTACAATAACAACACGTCGAGTAACTACCACCAAAACAAGAACAGTAGCAGCAACAACTACCAGCAGTTTTAAGTAGCCACAGTCCACCACAGACAGGCAACACCAATCACAGCAACAACCACCAGATTAATTATCAATTACTTTGCCATAGACCTGAATCGAAATTTCCACGTTGTTGTGTTTCCCAAATCAAACAAAACTGAGAGAAAAACAAAAGCAAAGGCAAAAACAAAAGCAAAAGCAAAAACAAAAACAAAAACATCGTTGTGCTGCATTTATGTGTATGCACGCGTGCACCCCCGTGTACATGTGTGTGGCGGGTGGCGGCCGGGTGCATATACGGTATGCATATGTCCAAGAACAACCAAAAATAAACAAACAACAACAACAACAACAAAAAACAACAACAACAGCAACGTCGCTAAAAACAAGAAAACTTTTTAAAACTAATTGTAAAATTTAATCATATTCAGCGAAGAGTCGAACAGAAAGATTTTCTTCATTTATATAAAAGCAAAAAAATTAGTAATTTTATACACACATTTATATATGTATATCTAAACAACGTATAATTTTAAAAGAATATTTGATGTTTTACATTTTAAAGCGTACTTTTAACGAGCATTCTTCACTTACACGAAACATTTAATTATCAATTATTAGTTGTGTAGCATTTAAACATAAAACTGACGAAGCGTGTGTAAACGATTGTGTTGTTTAAAGAGTGAGAGAGAGCAGGAGATAGAGAGCAGGATGAAGCCAAGTGAAGTGAAGTGAAGTGAAGAGTAGACGTGGCGAGGCGTTTGGGTCGTGGGATCTCCCGATCAGGCGACCCCACATCACACCACACCAAACCGCACCACACTAGACCAGACCGGACCGGACCAGCCAGAGCAGGAAATCCTGCAGCAGCGCGATGTTGATACGAGGTCGCTTTCAACAGACTTTCCAAAGATGACAAATACCTCAAACGCAAAGGCAGCAAACAACAAGACCAAGACCAGACAACAAACAAACAAACAACCAAAACAACAAGCAAAAACACCACACACACACACACACAAACACACCACACCACACCACACAACCACAGACATACACACACGAGAAGCATGTGCCAATTGCGAGTATGTGAAAACTGTGTGAAGTGCCAGCGTTTTTGGCCTTTTGCGCAACTGCAACATGTGCCTTTTAATTGTTAACTAACTGTTATTGTTTGAGCCAACTGAAACCAAAATCAAAACCACACAAACACCAATACCAATACCAATGCCAGACAAACAAACCCACTCCAACTCCCACTCCCACTCCCCTACTCCCCACTCCTACACTCATGCCCGAGCGCACACACACACACACTCCCTTCTCAAAAATATAGTTATTTAATAGTTTTTCCTCTTTGTTTTGTTAAACAAAACACTAAACAACAAACAACCACAACAAGAAGAAGACGAAATACAGCAAGAACAACAGAGACAACAAACAAACAAACAAACAAACAAAAAACGAAACGCGTAATCAAAGCTTTGATTCAATGTCTATTTAAATATATATAGCATATACATATATTTTTAGATACATATTATTATCCCGGCAACGGGATGATATTCACGTTCTTGCAATGCATATGTTTTCGTATGCACATACGTCAATATACCTACCATATATATATATATATATATATATATACATATATTTATATCGAGTATATACGAATGTTATATATATTTATACATACACGTAACATTTAACTATGGTACTATTTTTGATAGTATTACTTTAAGGCAAATCCTTGTAAAAAACAACTACAAAACGGAAGAGTACAACAACGACAGCTCTTGGATCCAGGGGCAAGCCCCGAAGGATCATTCTTTTATTTGCTTTATTTGCATTTTCGCTGCACTTTCTTGACTAAATGTAACTTGCGTAGCGTAGCGTAACGTAACGTAGAGCAACAACGTAACAGACGTATCAAACGTAAACAAACAGCACTCAATTTTAGATCGCGCATTGCGGCATTCTGCACGTTCATACGTCGATTTCAAGAACCACACTGAAACAACAACAAAAACAACAACAACAACAACAACAACAAACAACAACCAAAAAGAAAAGAAAACAACAACTAACTGAACAACAACGACAGCTGATTAGAGAACTTTTCAAACAATCATCAAGTGAAAACTTAACGAAACAAAGCTAAACAAAACAAAACACACTTCGTCAATTTTAGTAATTTTAATTCAAACAATTATACATATATAATTTTCCTTTTATGGTTTTTAAATGTTAAGTCGAGCACACAACCCACACATACTTACGAGCTTTGCTTTGGCAAATGTATATATATATATGTATATTTATACGTATTTGAAGTTCCGAAGATTCCGAAGGCAGAGTCCGGGAAACCGAGTTCTGATGGACATATCAAATATTGTACGCCGATTATATATACATTTGTGCATACATATATATTCATCAATTTTACAACAAATTTGCATGTTTCTCAATGTTTTTAGCAGTTTTCTTTATACAAACAAAAAACAAACGAAAAAACTAAACAAAAATAAGAAAAAAAATATTAACCCCTATCTTAAAAAAACTACCCATACAAATCAAGTTTTTTATACATATTATGCTATATTTTTATTGATTATTATACCGATTATTATCCTGTTTAAATGTGTAAACAATCTTTTGATATAAACAAAATTTTTGTATACCTCTACATATACTTATAGCAATAATTTTGTGCCCCCCTTTAATATTAAATTCCTAACAACAATATATTCTTAATTTCTTTATAATTATCTCTTCCGTTATTCTCTGAAATCTTGAAACTAACCAACAAGCCCCACTAAAGTGCGGGGAAGGACGGCTGCACGGATCCACGGTGCATATTACCGCTTCCGCTTGCACTTCCCCGCAGTTTTACCCCCGATAACTATTTAATTATGTAATGTTACTTTCGTAATTATGATTTTGAGCATATATTTATATACGATGATTGTAATGCCGAATTTTCCGATGTTTCGCCTCACAAAAACGAAAAAGAAAGATCAAAATAATCAAACCAAACCAACCAACCAACCGCAAAAGAACAGTAAAGAAAAGAAAAGAAAAGAAAAGAAAAGAAAGATAATGACCGACCCTTAATGAGGGATAATTAAAACCACCCAAAAGTGAATATCCAAAGCGATCGCCGCCGCGCGTCTGTCTTGTCCAAGCCCCCGTGGCGGTACGATATATTCCCGGTGTCCGAATCGTTGTTGTCTGGCCCAGAGGACAACGACCCACTATCCCAACAACCAAACAACCAAACAACCGAGCAAGCAACCAAGAAAAACAGCACCACAGTGTTATTTTCACTTAACTGTAACGATTTTCATTTTTTACTTAAATCTTCCTTTCTATTAAACTTAAAGCGTATATATTTACAAGTAATTTAGCGTAATTAATATTTGTTTTTAGTGAAATGCATTGAAAAACTCTACAAAAAAAGTAAAACCCAAAGTAATTTACATTTAACGATTTGTCAAGCGATTTCCCGAGACAATTTTTAAGCTAAACCAGTTTTCTTGTTTTTAACAACAACAGCAACAACAACAGCGAACACAAAGAGTAATTATTATAAACATTATATTAACTCGAGTAAAAAGTAAAATTTGTTGACTATTGCATTTGTTTTTGTTTTTCGCAAAACGTTTTCAACGACACTCCAGAATATTCGCGACGAACCACGCATACGCCGCCCCATTTTATCCCCGATCCCGATCCGCCCCCACGTACTCCCCCTTTAAAAGAGAAACTAACGAGAATCAAACAAAATGAGAACACTTTATATATCTTTTTTGCTGAGGTGAGACATTCAAAAGACACACACACAAGAGCAGCAAATGAATTCGCAATCTTTGGCATCATCCAATCAATGATAAATTGTTTATCGAATTGTTAAACAAAGCAAATAACTTGAAATTGAAATGCTGAAATTGTTGTGTGGAAAATGAGGTAAAAATTAAAGATTTTAAAAGAAACATAAATGCATAACGATAACGAGTGCTGTAAGATGAGAGATCGATCGATTGATCGATCGAATGAAGGAGAAGTCCATTGCAATGCATTGTGAAACATGTTAATAAGTCGAAACGAGTCGTGTCGAGTCGAGTCGAGTCGAGTCGGTAACGATAAAGATTATGATACCTAACCAGAATCAGACAACTACAACATCAGTTAACAATATCAACAACAAATCGATCCGCATGTATGTGTGAGCGTCGCCTTGCGCCTGCTCCCCTCCATCGCTCCAGAGCGAGTCGGGAGAGAAGAGAGTAAATTGTTTTTAATTTTTATTTGTGTATCAGCAACAGCCAACAACCACCACAAACCATATTGTACTTTGAGCTACAGCAATAACAAGAAACATTTTAACCATCAATCTTATAATCAAAATCCACAAACGAGAAATGAGCAAATAAAAGAAAAACAAAAAAAAACCAACCAGACAACAATTTTGTGTGTATTTCAGTTGCCTTTCCCTTCCCACTTACCTTTCCTGTCCCGTTCCGTTCCATCCCCGTTGGTCCCTTCTCCGAATCCTGTATTCCGGATTCTGGAGATCTCCTTTCCAGCTCTTGACTTGTGAATTTGAATTGTCTCCCCTCGGCGCGGCGTCGCCCCTCAGTAGCAGCAAATTTTGACCATTCCAATCCGTACCAGAATCCCAAACCGAATCGATCCGATCCCGATCCATATTCTAGACACAGCAAGTTCCACTCCATCCTCTTTCGTTTGTGTCGTCTACACCATTTATAAGCTAAGCTCTGTTTGTGTTTTCATCAATCTTCTATACGAAAAAACAACAAACCACAAACCACCACACCAAACCACTGCAATAACCACGTGGTTGCACCACAAAATATACTCGAAACGAAAGACTATGGCTACGGCGGCGGCTTCGACGGTAATGGCTACGGCGGCGGCGGTGGTGGCAGCTTGGGCGGTCGCGGTGCCGGCGGCCCACGCGGCGGTGGCGGTGGCGGCGGCGGCGGCCCCAAAGGTATAAAATCACAGAAACGCCCAGAACTATCATCCAACTCTTTGCATTTATTCCATCTCCAAGTACTCGTACCTTTTGAACTGTCGAATCCGATCAATTATTTTATGTTTATCGTCTGTAACCCAAGCTCCCGAGTTTTGTTCCATTTTCAGTTGCGTTGCCCCCCATTGCCTGTTCAGAGTTATGTTTCCTAGACATTGTTCTATCCTTTGCGCTATCCCTAGTCTAGCCTTGGTCAAAATTTCTAAACAGTCGCTTGAATCGTTTGGCGTAGTAACAAAACACTTTTATATCCCCTTCCCGTCAGACTTTGAGCATGTGTATTGCCCGAGTGTTAGGGCCGAATGAGATGTACTAATCCCTCGAACCGATTCCTCCATTTCCACAACAGGCGGCGGCGGTGGTGGCGGAGGCGGCAGCTTCAACGGGGGCAAGCAGCGCGGCTCGGGACGCCAGCCCAGGCACCAGCCCTACTAAGCACCGGTCACTGGGCACTCACACTCTCCAGATAACTACAAACTATTTGAATTTTACCTAGTTTAGTTTGTTATGGTGAGTACAAGTCATACATGCCGTACCCCCGGCGAGGCACTTGCTAACCGAAGCTAATTCTTTTTCCGTTGCAGCATTACTACAACCACAACACACCAACCCACTTCTGAGTAAACGCATATATACGCACCTGTATATATGGATATACATTTGAAAAGGGACTGCACGGAGGCAGATCCCTATTCTTATTGCATTAGACGAACTGGCAGACTGGCAGCAGCAGCAGCTACAACCAACAAGCTACATCCTTACACACATGATGTGTAGCACCATTCCAACAACAATTAAATCTACAACCACAACAACACCAGCCGCAACAACACCAGCCGCAACAGGAGCGTCATTAATACATCCCCACCACAAATACGAGTACATAAATACATACATACATAGATAGTTAGGCCTAGAGACATGTAATATTTTCTCAGCAAGTGGCTAATTTTTCATAGCCACACGCTCATTAAGCCGGCAGACCAACCAACCCCCACACCCACCCAAAAGCAACAGCGAAAGCAAAAGCAAGAGCTATCCCTCAAGCCCAAAAGCCTCCCACAAGAAACAGTCGGAACACGTTACTGGAGCCGTGGTGGCCCCCACAAGGTCTGTGCGTCGAAACAAATTCGTTTTTCTAATGTAGTCTCATGTGTTATGCGGGGTAATTGTTTAAAGTGCAGCAGCGACACGAGACAGCTACACGAGGAAATTGTTCAACACATTTTGCAACAAAATACAATACTGTAGAGATAAGTATTTGTTTAACTCTAATTACTGATAACTGTAACATGTAATATTGTAGTAACTATAAACACGAGAAAAAGCAACACAAGAGAGCAATGGAAGTTGACTGGTGGGCAATGGACGAGGGTGGTAGCGTCCTGAATGAATTATAAATTAAGGAACTATTGAACTACATAAACTACGACAACCAACAGATCCACCAAAACACAAAGAACGCGATAACAAACGATTTTCAAGCAGCAAACATACTTCTGTTTAATTCTGTTTCTTGGGTATGTGCATTAGCTTATAGACTACTTGTATATCTATATTTATATACTCCTTGGTGGGGCAGAGCAGATAATATTTTATTAAAAATCAAACTCGAGTTTATTTGCTACCCACAAACGAAAACATAAACAAAAACACGTGCATATGCACATATGCGTGGTACACACAGAACTGTATAATAGATGCCGGAATACTTGTTGAAAGAATTCTCTATATATGTATACATACTTAAACTACTATATTTACAAACCAGATGAGATCGTGTGAAAGAAACGTCCGTAAAGGTAGAAGTAGAGGGATGCGCGGCATTGCGAAATCGCACAGATGAGACGGGCCACAGACTTGGGGTAGGGTAGCATTTTCGGAACAGATTCAGCTTAGGCTAAGACGAATTTGAAAATTGTATAAATATAGTTTCTACCCCCTAAAAATATAAACAAAAACGTTATTCTCTTCCGTCATAACCGTGGGATGAGAGAGGGGGCGGTTTTCAAGCGAATTACATTAATTAAAGAAAAGTAAACTTTATTTTGCTGCGTTTTCTTATATTTATAACACTCGTAACAATCATAATTTTGCACAAACAAAAACGATTACACACTGAGAATTTGGAACATCAGGCTCTCATCAATGATCTCTAATAGTTTCGCTTCACCTGGCCGGTGGTGAAGAGCACGTCCAGAATTTTAAGGAATTCGCGGTAGTTGAACTCGAGGCAGAGGCCACGCTGCATCCCGAAGCACTTGCAGATGGCCTCGAACTCGCGGCTGCTCAGCATCTGGTGCATCTCGCGGACGGTGAGGCCGCGCAGGAACTGGTTCTGGGAGATGGAGCCACAGTTCTCGCGGTCAAAGTCCTTGAAGACCTGGCTCAAGTTCGAAATCTCGTCGGGTTTGCGAGCGAGCTTCATGAGGGCCTGCGAACAAATGGTCCGCTCGTCGAAGCTGAGGAAGCAATCGACGCAGTCCAAGTTGGGCAGGTGCAGTAGAGGAACAGCTGTGACCACCTGGTCGCCAAGACTCGATTCGAGTTGTATGAAGATCTCGTCCAGGGCCTTGCAGAAGTCCCGGTAGCGCACGCACGCCATGCGCCGGGGAGAACGGAAGCTGTGGAGATCGAGAGATAAGGTGAGATTGATGGTTATGGTAGTCACTGGACAGCCTACATGTTGCAAAGAATTGTGGTCTCTTCCTCAGTCAGGATGACGCCTGAGTTGTCCAGGGACCGCTTAAAGTCAGACTCCAGAATCTCGCCCTCGCGGTGACGGTCGTAGTCGGTCATGAAATCGATGACGGCCAGTCCCTTGGTCAGGGCCTGACGCTTGGCACTGGTCAGGATGCGAATAATGGTCTCCTCGCTGGCCTCCTCCTGTTCCAGATTGTCCCGGGCGAATGGCGGACAATCCTGAAGCTGCTGCTTGGTCACCATGCTGGGCATGGCGTACTCGGCTGGATCCACGTCGTCCAGGAACTTGGTGTAATGAAAGCCGAGCTCATTGCCATAGCGATGCAGCACAGCATCGAGCTCCTGATCGGACAGGAGTATGCCATTGGTGCGGAAGATCTGATTGGTCTGGTTGCAGCGCACATGGCCACTATTGAGTCTGGAAAGGGCAGGGCGGATGGGTAAAAAAACCTAGGAATCAGGACTCGAGTCATCCACTCCACTCACTTGTCATAGCTGCGGAAGAAGGGGTGCAGGTATAGGCGACGGTTGCGGATGCGGATGCGTATCTTTGCCATTGCCTCCTCGCACACTTCACGCATGCTCTGCGGGGCCGACTGCCAGTCCACGGCGCCGGGTCGGGGCAGCTCTTGGATGTGGCGCAGCGGCGACTCGACCACGCACTGCGGCATCTTGTCTAGGTTCTTGATGGTGAAGACTACAGAAACAGGGTCAAATAAATTAAAAATTCCCTAGACTACTCTTAACCACTCCCCACCCGTGTCGATCTCATCCACAAAATTGCGCCAACGTACGCGGTTGATGTCCATTGGATCCAGATAGCGATCCACCAGAACAGCCATCTCGCGCTGGGACAGGTACTTGCCCACTCCCATGGTGGACAGGCCGCGCTCGAACTGGTTTTTGGTGATGCTGCCGATGTTCAAGGCGTCGAAGCTCTCCAGGAACTCGGAGGTGCGCACCTGGTTCTTGTAGACGTAGTTCTGTATGCAGAAAATGATGTCGCATTGGCTGCGATTCTTCTTCGGATGATTGCACGCATCCGGAAAGATAGGGTGCACCAGCTTGCAGCCATTGATTGCCGGCAGCTGGGAGAGCTCCAAGTCCACTAGGCGACCTGGGAAGTCCTTAATGATATCCTGAAGAACGGGACCCGATTAAAATGAATAGAATAAAATGTCCCAAAATGCCCCACCTGAGAGTTGTCCAGCAGACGGTGGTCCTTCAGGTAGGCAATTATGTTATCGATGTGCTTGAGGAACGCCACGTAATTAACCAAATAGCCGTCTTTCATATAGCGCCTCAGCAGCAGCAGAAAGTCCGGCTCCGACAGCGGTATCTTCATGAAGTGCAGCACCCGCGAGAAGTGCGACACCGTGACCACGCCCACATTTTGAGCAATCTAGAAGTGAAATAAAATACGTTTTTCCTGGTATAAGGCACAGCGCCGAGGAGCAATCACCAGTTCATAGTCCTGAAAGTACGGCATCAATGGTATGTTCGCCTCCTGAGCAATCTTAAGCAAAATCAGACAGAGCCTGCGTCGATCCTCCGGCTGGGGAATGACATTCACATGCCAGGGATCGTTCCACTCCAGGCCAGTGGCCAGGTCCGTCTTGGCGCTCTTGTGCAGGGCTGCGGGTCAGAGCCGGGTCAGAGCCAGAAAATCATGAACAGGAACCATGCCCAACTCACTTTCGCTGCAGACCACCTTGCAGAACTGGCGATAGGCCACGCGCCCGTCGCGGATTTGGAAGTAGTCGGTGACGTCCCTCAGCTCGGTTTCGGACATGCCGGCCACCTTGCGATACTTTCCCAGCACAGCCGTGAAGATGGGCTCTGTTGGGGTCATAAAAATTACATAAAAAAGGGCAGACCGAAATGTCCCTAGCGGATGTCGTTCTTACCCGATACGAAGCCGCTGCATCCTGGATCCTGCTGCTTCAAATCGGCACAGATGTCAAAGTTATAACGAAAAATAGCACCTTGAATTTTACGACAGGCCCGCCAGACTTGGTTGAGCTCCATATCCTCCTGCAGACGGTTCAAGGGAGATTGGATGGGCAGGCAAATTAGTTGAGCATGTTTAATGTCCGGCACATATGACACGGGCTCGGACATGGACTTGGACTTACCCTGTCATCGCCCTCCTCTATCTTGGTCGTATGCATATTGGCTCAAGTATTGTTAACTGTTTTTTGTATTTTTGTTGAGTACGAAAATTGTGTGAAATACAATCGAAAGTCCCTACGATATAGGTATGTATTTGTGTTTGTATATAAAAGCCAAAGTAACTGAGTGAAACAATGAAGTCAAGGGCCACCTAGCTCGGTCCATATTACAAATTGGATTTCTGCGCTCCGCTGTGTTTGCCTACGTTTCTCCGAGGAGCCGGTTGCACGGCGCAAGGCGCACTTCGTACGGCGCACGCAAGGAAGCTTTGGAGGAGCGCAACACTAATCACTTCCTCCTCGTGCCCGGCCCGGAGACCCCGGAGAGTGGTGAGTGGAAAGCGGAAAGCGGAGTGCTGGCCGAGCGGCGTTCACCGTTCTACAAATCGCTTCCAATCACGCGCTCATTCATCGCCCAGTTTGTCGCAATGCCACCAACACTTTTATTCAATTTTCTATAAATGGCTGGGGGAAAACAGGAGAAAACAAAGAGGAACCGAGAAATGTCAGAGTGATTGGAAAAAACATATCCTGGCATCATCAAATGCAATTTTACTTTATTGGAAAATCGCTGGCCATCCAACCAAGCAAATCGCATCCAAAACCAACCAACAGCGGCGACAAGGGTCTGGCTACCTCGCAGAGCGTGGAGAGCTGGGACTGCAATTGGTAGCGGTGGTGTTGGGTCCATGAACCTCCGGAATACCCCACTGCCGCCCGCCTAACGGCCAGCACGAGTCAAGGTTGATTGGCGACGACAGGTGCACTATACACCTGACCACTTCAAGCCGGTCACTCGGGCCAGTCGGGCCACTCGGGCCACTTCTGGCCACGCGACTAAAAATAACCTGAAGGGCGGTTCTCCGTGGCATTTCTAGTGTTTGGCCAGATGCCCTTTTTGCTCCTGGAGTTCTAACTTCCATGCGGGCACCGCCTTTGCCTCGGTAAATACGTATCACTGAATCGGTTGTGAAAGTAGTTCATTAGGATTGTTCTTCTACACAAATATCCACTATGCTGACAAATGATAAATGCACTCAGTACTCAGTACTCTTTATTCATTATACCTATTGGTTTTCTAAGTAGATGTTTTCTTCATTGAAATTGGTCTTGAAATTGGTCTTATAAATCAATATCTCCTCGCAAGAACTATTATAATTTAACATAAATTCTCCAATTACTTAAATCTAAGAACATATTATTTGTGCGTTTAAAGCGACGAATTTAGGATAAATGCTTCCCTTCTGTTGGAAATCGGAGCTTGCTTTTAATTTAATTTTGTTTCGAGTACGGGTACGGGTATATTCGTGCTGGCAAATTGCTTTGCAGAATCGTAATACCCGGAAACGGTTAGTTGGTTGTGGGTCATAAAAACGAATTGCAATCATTATCGTTGCTTAGATGAGGTTTGCAACCAGGCATTTCCCTCCACTTCCCCGCTTCCCTTCCCCTTCCCCTTTCCCTTCCCCTTGCCATGACCATACCAATGCCCATACCCATTCCCATGCCACCTTTGAAGCGTGCTTTATTGCAGTTTTTATTGCACATTTTTGATTTACTCAGCCGGGTGAGCATAGCCCTGATGGGGGATTGGGGGCTTTGGGGTTTCGGCTATGAAAATGCGTGTGCGTGTGGTGGCCGGGCCATCGATTTGCTGGGGTTTTGTTCTTATTGTGTTCCCTGTTTGATTTGATGCGGTGTTAAATTATAATTATGGGTTCGAGCTCTCCAAACGGGGTCGCTGGGAGGGAGAGCTGTGGGGTTTGGTGTGGCTCAGTGGAGGGGCTTATCGTGCACAAACATATGGCATTTTGTCAGTTAGTTTGTTTGACTTCTTTTTCACACAATCGCACAGACATCCGCGTTCAGGGGTTCCGGGTGTGAGTGCTCGTGTGTAGGTAGACAAAGTGCCGGCATATATATTCATGAACCTGGTGTACATCTGCATAATGCACGGCAGCAGCAGAACCGCCAAAAGAAGAAGGAGCAGCGCAGCCGTGGCTGTGGCTGTGGCTGTGGCAGGATACGGCAGTTGGCGTACGTTGCCTTTTATTTTAGTGGCTGCTTGGGCTCTGTCTGCTTCCTTGGCGGCCAGCTAGTGGCACACACGGTGAAAGAGTTAAGCAGAAATATGGGAAAAAGGCAAACAATGGCAGGCAACCTAGTTATCGCCCGCCATCTTTATTGCATGCAAATGTGCGAGAGACGGCGCAAAAAGGAGGCGTCTCTGTTGAAATGGCTGACGTACTAACACATGGGCACACACTCACACATAGATCAAATGCTGATGCACTGAGGGGAAACCCGAAAGGAAGGCTATCTTTGGTGACGAAGCTGTTTAAACTCTTGACGATTGATCGAAGATCTGTTGAGATAAAATACTGATGGACATGGACCATCTATCTATCCCTTTAACATATTTAATGATTTGAGTACGGTACTCTTGATAGCAGAGTTAACAGAGTTAGCAGAGTTGGGGTTTCTTCATGGTCAAAAACATGTTTTGAATTTTAGAGTCTGTTTTTCTCGGTGTACTCATGTGCACCTTTTGCCATGCCTTCTGAAACCAACCGCATGCATATTTATCTTTTGCCAGTGCCGGCTGTAGCTTCAGCCCCGAACGAGCTCCTTTGTGGCATGCATACCACACACACCAAGCCATATGTACACACATACATGCAAGTGTAAGAAATACGATATCTTAAGTGTTAAACAGGCGCTTTGCCAAACAAGCTCGCACTCGACACTCGGTGCCCGACTACGCCTTGCTGCTCCGCAAACGGCGCTGCCAACCTTATCTGGCTTGTCTCTCCCCCTCGCGGACACGCCCACCTGGCTGCTGCTGCAGTGCATCACGACGGCGGAGTCCTGGAATTCCAGCCCTGCATATTTGGCTGCAGAACAAAAAGAGGCACCAGCAAAGCAAAATAAAACCCACGTCTCGGCAAATAAATAAAAATGCTGCTCACTTCTGCTGCGGCGCGTTTTATGCGCGCGCTCGCACACACACACACACACACACAACACATGCAAACAGGTGCGAGAAGCTTCGTTCTCGCTCTCTCGTCACACACGCTGGCAGTGTTGCCAGCTCTTGAGGGCCCAAAACAGCCATATCAACATTTGTGGCTAGCTGGGAAAAGCCAACCACAATTTTCAGAAGCAATATAAACACCGCTCCACAACCACTGTGAGGAATCATAATGGAGTAATGGCGTAGACCTTGGCGGAACGGCTTAGCGAGCGGCGCTTGGAGAGTGACTACCATTGCTAATTAAAATTGCAATTAATAAGACTGAATAAAGATACGAATACTTGTGCAATTAGCCTAGACCGATGCCAAATTATAAATCTCTTTCATCGGGTGCACAGGCGGCTCAGCTATCCAAGTTAATTCAGACGGCTGGAAAAGGGTTCGTTGCACCACTTTAAAGTACATTCCTTGTGGTGGAAATTTACCTATTTGGTAATGATAAGGCAACCCAATCGACTATGAAGAATCCTATCTAATCTTCCTTCGTACTCGTAGATAAGTATAATTCCATTCTAGCTCGATCTTATGAAACAATTAGAGCTGGATGAAATGGAAGTATTAATCTTGGTTATCCAGTCCTGTTGGGGGGTTCAGTTGCCTTATTCAACGTACGTTCTTGATTATTGGAATCCAGCATCCAAGGATCGTAGTTGTTTTTGTTTTCTTAATTCGCTTTTGAAAAAAACACGATCGATAGAACAGAATTAGGAAATACCTGGCTTGCGGTGGAAACTTATCAAGAAAAGTTATTAAACAAAAAAACTAAATTAATAGCGGAAAATATCTGAAATGGCAGCACTGATGGCTGGCTGCCGTCATTTTTGTAGTGCATACTTGCATTTCGGGCGCTGCTTATAATTCCACGCCAGAGTTGTAAATATTTGCTCAAGTATTTATTTATGTACTGCCTCCGCTCGCATGTACATATGTATGTATGTATGTACGTATCTGTGTGCACTGTGTGGCTTCCTTTTGGTTTGGATCGGTTTGGTTTGTGTTGTGTTTGCGGGGCCAAATTAAAATGCATTGCACTATTGCTGGCTTTTTGATTTGCACTCCCAGTCCCACTGTAGTGCTTGCGTCTAGCAATTTTGTAGTGCTTTCAATTTCTTTAATGTTCAAAGCGTATCTTAGCTGCTGTGCCAGCTCTTCCCAGCGATTGGACCCGACCCTCATTTTTCGCAACATAGTGACCATAAATTGCTGGGCAAGACAAACGGCACGGTACGTGGAAACATCTTCCAGTTTCCGCCAACAATTCGTGAATACTCGTAAACACACCTGAACGACGACTTCTTCAAGTCATCTCACCTGCCACGATTATTGTAATTTCCAGAATTTATACGGTATAAGGTTTAAGGTACTTTCATATTCTCATTAGCCACCACATTATACAGTGCCGGACTTAAGTGTTGGCACAGCAATAATATTTCAGTTTACTGCTATTTTCAAAAGAAAAACAATTTGATTCGATAGCTTAATCAGTTTTCTATAAGATTGGCTAATTTTTATAAGCGTCGCTTCGTACATTATTTTCTAAAATTTTGTAAGCGAAAAAGGAAATACAATTTTGGTAAGCACCCCACCATCGCGACACAATGTTTTTTTTTAATATTTTTTTTTTAAATCTCAGCCGTATCAGGCGAGAGTCTATTTTCATAGTCGGTAATCAGTTTCAAACTAGGGATATTATTCTCCATCGATGAAAATATCAATTGAGCTATCCTCATTTCTTATCCGTGCACCCTCAATGTGCGACAAAGCGAAATATTTTTTTTTAAATATTTTAAATTTTTTAAAATTGTTTTTACATTTTCCTAAAAAGCTATATGGTATAATAAGAATGCACGTACATATGAATACATTTTTTAAAATTAATTTCTTTATTGGTATTAGGGTTAAGGACAGATATCGCTCCAAATATGTAGGTCCATGGTTTTCTCAGTGGGCTTCGAACTACAAATTGTGCATACATATATATGTACATATGTATTTATGCATTT